AAAATACGGTATTAAATAGTCTAGGGAGGTAATAGGTCCTCATGAAAGTTTAGTATCGCAACAACAAATCTGACCAAAGTTGAGATATTTTTCAGACCCTTATCCCTAAAAAATAATGATGATAAAATAAGAAATTTTTTTATTTTTTTATTTTTTTCTGAATTGAAGTAAGATAAACATTTGCTAATTTAAAATATATTATTAGAAAAATAATGTGTTAAAAAGAAAATAATAATATATTTATTTGGAAAATGAGAATTTTGATCCATTAAATAACAATGAGGGCATTCTTGGACTAAAGTATTGACGGTAAGTACATTTTTGGACCAAACTACAAACATATGACATTTTTGTTCCTTTTGCATAGTTTAAGGGCAATTTTGAACCAAAGTATCGACGGTAATGACATTTTTTAGTCAAACTATAAACAAAGGACATTTTTGTTCCTTTTACATAGTTTAAGGATATTTTTGACCCTTTTCCCTATTTTTAGTTTAAATAGTTCTTGGATATGTATACACTACATGTGTATTAAAAAGTAATTTAACAGAGAGAAGGAATAATAACAAAATAAGAAGCTTCACCCAACTTAAATATTTTGTTGCTACATAAGTGGGACACCTTGACAAAATGAGATACTTTGTTACAATTACCTCAAAACATACTGATAATTTTTGAATTTTCATCTTTTGGTAGTTTCCTTTTCCCTTTGAGAAAAAAATAAGTTAAAATAATTAAGGACCATGAAGATTTCTTTAAAGGAAAAGTTACTTGAATAAATATCTTGTAAGTGTTGAATTTCAGTCTTGGAAGATAGATAAATTGAATAGACTTTTTTTGCTTAAATGATATTGATAATATTTTGACTATTCATTTATCTACTACATGCTCTACGGATAAATTAATTTGACACTTTACAAAATCGAGTACTTATAAGGTAAAATCGGGTTATCATCTTACAAAAAATTTAAGCATGATGAGAGATGTTAGGGGTAATATTGCTCAATCTAGTAACCATGCTTTTCCAAAAGTCTTTTCGAATTTTTTATTGGCAATGAAAATAATTAATAAACATAAACATTTTCTTAGAAGGTGCTTGTTTAATACCTTACATGTAAATAATATTATTAAGAAACGACTAAATCATGACAATAGTGATTGTAAAAGATGAGGTTTAGAAGATGAGACTCTGCAACACATATTTTTCAGTGTCAGGATTCTCAAATAATTTGAAAAATAAGTCATATTAATTGGAATGATCTTGCCAACATTATTGATTTTTTTGTGTGGTGGAATGATAAGATTAGTACGGCAAAAATATGTCCTAATTTTGCTTGTGTTTTGAATTTGATCGTAATGATTATGTGGCATATTTGGAAGTCTAGGAATACTTGGGGTTCTAATAACGAATTAACTGACCCTCCGGACATAGTGACAAAAGTTTTATTTGAATAGAATGAATATCTTGATATATTGCTTGCAAATTCTTCAAATGCAAATTTTCAAGAGAATTATGACTATCAATTAAGAGTTTTCGAAGAAGGGATCTGTTTTTTTGTTGATGCAGGGTTACAAGTTGAATCAAAGAATGAAAGCATTGCATTGGTTTGGTTGTTATGGGTAGCAAGGGTGTTTCGCTTCATGACTATGTGTAATGACTCTGAAGGTCATTTTTGAAAATTTTCAAAAAATTTATCATTTTACCCCTTCTGATAGTTACCTTGAGTCTTGTATGATCAGCTATGAAGTTGGTTTCGAAATTTGATTATAAAATTGTGATTTTTGAAAGTTTTAGAGTTTTGGAGAGGTAAATTTGTTAAAAGTGGTTGTTGATAACAATTGGAGTTACGAATCTTGTAATGAAATTCCATCAGTTTCTGGATATGACTTTTGGGTTAGTAGGACTATTGGATCAGGTCTTGAGGTATTTAAATGAGTTTCGAAAGAGTTTTTGTGTTTTGAAAGTTGAAAGCACAAGATAGTTGATCAAAGTCAACATTTGGAGATAGCAAGCTTGGAATGAAATTCCGACAGTTTCGTTAGCTCCAAAATGTGGTTTTTGGTCTAGATGTACTGTTGGTTTGTGTCACAGGGTTTTTGGTTTGATTTTGAGCCATTAGATGGATGCATGGACAAATATGTCCCCTATAAATCACAGATTGAGTTATAGCGGATGTGTATCAATACAATAGACATGCATCACTCTCTATGACATTGCACTGCATTTCATTTGATTCTTATCACTTGTAATATTGAGAATTATTGTGGTGTTTGGCTATATGTAGTGAGGTGTAAATTGTGATATTATATTGATGCTCTGTTATATTTAATCGAGAATTGCTATGTTGGGCAGATTGATTTTTGCAGGTTGTAGTTGTGGAGGTTTGGATGGTATGATTGGAGTTTGATATTGCTTACTTAGGGTTATTAGGTTTGCTTGTTGAGTACCGTTATTGTTTGGTACTTACTCTCTTGCTTCTACACTTGTGTAGGTTATAGGCCCAGATCATTGTGATTACTCCCTCTTCTTTTTAAGTCTGAGGCTTATTGTTGGGGGTTTGTGCGGTAACTACTTATCATCTCGGCGTATACGTCTTACTCTTTTATTATGTTCTTATTCTATTCTAAAAATAAAGACATTTCAAACTTGTACTTCTTCTTGAATCTATTGTAATACTTAGAGGTTTGTACACGTCACAATCAAATTTTGGGAGCAATTTGAGTTATGTTAAGTTAAGTTATCCACATTATTGATATATGTGTTAGTCTTTTATTCTATTTTACTTCCGCATTTATCTCTTAAGTTGAATAGGGTGAATTATCTTTGGTAGGATAAGACATGTGTCATCATGTCCATTTTTGGATCGTGACACCATGAATCCCCGATCCAAT